ACAGGCAGAGGGAGAAGCAGGCTCCATGCTGGGAGCCTGATGTGGGACTCCATTCCAGGACTCCAGGATCATGCCCTGGGCTGAAGGCAGGCACTCAACCGCTGAGCCACCCAGGGGTCCCCTTATTTTTGTTTTTAAACATGATAGTTTATATATATCAGAACTTCATTCCTTTGTTGTAGCTGAATAATATTCCACTATATGTATATTACCATTTTATCCATTCGTCTATTGATGAGCACTTGGGTTGCTTCCACCTTTGACTACTGTGGATAATGCCACTATGAATATTGACATCCAGGTAATCTGTTTAATCTCTGCTTTCAGTTCTTTGGGGGTATTATACCTAGGAGTGGAATTTTTTAGTTAAATGGTAATTGGATGTTTAATTTTTTTTTTAAGATTTTATTTAGTTATTCACAAGAGACACAGAGAGGCAGAGACACAGGCAGAGACACAGGCAGAGGGAGAAGCAGGCTCCATGAAGGGAGCCCGATGTGGGACTCGATCCTGGGTCTCCAGGATCAGGCCCTGGGCCAAAGGTGGTGCTAAACCACTGAGCCACCAGGGCGGCCCGGATGTTTAACTTTTTTGCGGAACCGCCAGACCACAGCAGCTGTGCCATTTTACATTCCCATCAGCAAAGCACAAAGATTCTAATTTCCCTCCATCTTCGCCAACTTTTGTGTTTTGGTTGTTTTATAACAGCCATCCTAAATGGGTGTGAAGTGGTATCTCGTGGTTTTCATTTACAGTTTCCTAATGGCTAATGATGTTGAGGATGCTTACTGACCATTTGTGTATCTTTGGAGAAATGTTTGCTCTGCTCATTGCTCTTTTTTAAATTGGATTATCTTTTTGTTATTGGGTTGTAGGAATTCTTTATCATGTCTGGATATTAACCCTTTGTTAGATATGTAATTTGCAAGTAGTTTTCCCATTCTGTGCATTGTCATTCCACTTCCTTCATAGTATCTATCCTTTGATAATAAAAGATTTCCGTTTTACTAAAGCCAAAGTTATCTTTTGTTGCCTGTGCTTTTGGTGTCTTAAACTACTGCCCAAATCCACAGTCGTGAAGATTGGCTGTTTTTATCTAAGAGGTTTATAGTTTTGGCTCTTCAATTCATTCTTAAGGGTCCAACTTCATTCTTCTGCACATAGGCAGTTTTCCCTGCACTCTCCTGAATAGACTATATTTGCCCATTCACACTCATTCTGGAATGACAGATACTATACCCAGAGAAACTCAATCTCTCTCTGTTGTTGTAGTTGAGAAAGTTGCTCTTGAATGCATTTCTCTAGCAGAAAGATTGCCTTTAATCTTTTCCATGCCCTTTGGCTGTTTTTTAAGAGATTCTCTGTGTCTTCTGTCTTACTGTATGAATTTGCTCGAGATTCATTTGGCTTCCTAAGGGTCAGCTGTCATCAGCCATTTCTGGAAAGTTCTAAATCATGATCTCTTCCATTCTGTCTGCTCTCGTCCTGTAGAGTTGACTGGTTATACACTGAGGCCTACTCTTCATGTCTCTCAGCCCCTTTCTTCTTTGATAGTCTCCTCTATTTTATATTTAGTTGCTGCTTTTATTTATTAAAAATGAGGTACCCAAGTGCAGTCTTATGGTTGGGAAGTCTCAAACGAGACTTTCCCTTTTATTCCTACTCTACTCTAGACCAAATGTCTCCACTGCCTGCCTTGAGAAGGGGATCGGGAGAGGCTCATTTTATTTCCAGCAGCTTAGCTCTCCATTTAAAAAGATGTCTTGGGGGATCCCTGGGTGGCGCAGCGGTTTGGCGCCTGCCTTTGGCCCAGGGCGCGATCCTGGAGACCCGGGATCGAATCCCACGTCAGGCTCCCAGTGCATGGAGCCTGCTTCTCTCTCTGCCTGTGTCTCTGCCTCTCTCTCTCTCTCTCTGACTATCATAAATAAATAAAAATTTAAAAAAAAATAAAAAATAAAAAGATGTCTTGGGCAGCCCGGGTGGCTCAGTGATTTAGCGCCACCTTCAGCCCAGGGCCGGATCCTGGAGACCCGGGATTGTGTCCCGTGTCAGGCTCCCTGCATGGGGCCTGTTTCTCACTCTGCCTGTGTCTCTGCCTCTCTCTCCCTGTGTGTGTGTCTCCTGTGAATAAATAAAACCTTTTAAAATAAATAAAAATAAAAAATAAAACGATGTCTTGATTTGTTATCAAGCAGTTGAATTGTTTTGCACCAGGAGCCTTTCTCTCCTATTCTCCTAGTCCTCACTGGCTGGCAGTGAGCTTTATTCTTTGTGCTAATTCTAGAGTGACCCTTGTTTCTGTGATGGCCTGATTTTTCTCTTGCAGTAGTTCCAGAGCTCTGGTTTTATTTCCTTAAATCACTTTTTAGAGCACTTCCATTCCTGCCTTGAACTACTGGTTGACAAGTTCATGGTTTTTCATCTTTTTCTAGCAACAACTTTCTGGTGAATGTTCATGTGCCATTTGCTGTTCCTGTAATCTCTTTTGCTCCTTTTTAATTACTGCTTTCTTAATGAAGCAAAATTCTTCCTTGATGAGCTCTTATCAAGCTCTTATCAAGTAGATCACTGTAGGAGTGGGGCCAGGCCTGTGCCCCAGGCTGGCAGGAGTTCCTAAGACACAGAGATGGGTGCCCTCTACAGCCTGGTCCTCTCCCCTGGCAATGACAGGGCTGCTTATGATACAAAGCTGCCCCCGACCTCCCGGTCCCTTGGGGCTGAACCTGATTTAGGAAAGCTCTTGCTGCAGTCCATTCCCCCTTTTTATTTCAAATAAGAGATTACTGGCTTCTCCCCAGTTATCTGGTTCATCCAGACATGCAGTCCTTACAGTCCTCCTTGTGAGGCTACAGGCAGCTTCCTTCACACCCAGTGCTGTGGAGTTCTATCAGAAGACAGTTGGATTTCGATTTCTTCTTTATTCTCTTTTGCTTTGCAGTGATTCTGCAGTGGTTGAGGAACAGTACTGTCTTTAAGCCACAACATTAAAACCAGTAGTCACACTAAAAGATCAACCTTATATTCCTGGGCTGAGCACTTCATGACTAACTCTCCTGTTTGATTCTATTTGCTTATATTTTATGAGACTTTTATATTTATATTCTTAGCAGGTCCTTATCTGTTCTCAGGGCTTCTGAAATTAGTGGTGTCATTTCCTATGTTTATTTACTCTCCGGAACAGACTGGATATATAATACTGGGATTTTCTGTTCCTTGAAGGCTTTGCAAAATGTCACCTGTAAAACTACATAGTTTAGCTTGGTTCTTTTTTTCTGGGAAAACTTTTAACTTATTCAGATTTTTTAAAATATTTATTTATTTTTAAGATTTTTTATTTATTTATTCATGAGAGACACAGAGAGAGAGAGGCAGAGGAAGAAGCAGGCTCCATGCAGGGAGCCTGATGTGGGACTTGATCCCGGGACTCCAGGATTCGGCCCCGGGCTGAAGGCGGTACTAAATCACTGAGCCACCCGGGCTGCCCTCTTCAGTTTTTTTAAAAAGCTTTGGTCTAATAAGATTTTCTGTTTCTTCTTGATTTTATGATAATTCATGTTTTCCTGGAAATTTTTTTCATTTAAACTCAATTTTGAAATCTATTGCCATAAAATATCCTTAGGAAATAGGGGATGGGGCTCAACTTTATATCATTTGCATTTTTCATGACAGCAGATTAAAGTATACATAAAATGAAGGCCAGATGCCCCTCGCCAAAGTCACCTGAGGTGCTGCATGGGGATGATAAAAGTCCTGGCCCTGATCCTGCCTTCTACCGCAGCAAACCCTATGCTCTACTCAATCTCTCTTCACCTTCTCTTTCTCAGTCTTAGGAAAAGTCCTCAGTGCTGTGGGCAGTGCCCAGCTACTCATGTCCCAGAAATTCCAGCAGTTCCGGGGCCTTTGTGAGCAAAACCTGGTGAGTGATTCTTCTTCCTCCACCAAGGGGCTTCCAGCCTTTTGCTATCTGCCAGATGCCCAGCTGGCTGTGCCCTCCTCCCTAACACGGAGAAGGTGCTGGTGACGCGTGCCCATGCCTAGCACAAGAGCCAGGAATGGTCCTTCCAAATCTCTGGTACGTCTTCAGATAGAAAAGTGAAGCCTATATGAAAGGAGCCACGTGAAACTTAAAAATCAGCACTGATTTATATTAAACATGCTCCAAGAACACAGGTGAGAACGAAGACTCACCACCCCTGGGCTTGCCGGTTTCCCACTCTTTCAGCCTCACCTCTTAGGAGAGCAGCTGTTCCTGTGGAGGCCTCCCCTTCTCTGGCTGGCCAGGGACAGTGTGCTCCTGGAGGATGAGGGCGAGTGTTTGTCTCCAGGCCCTGCAAGGGTTTGGCCCTTAGCCGAGGCAGTCACCATGAGCACTGTGTTGTCAGAGAACAGACGGGGGCGGGCAGAAACCTTGTGGATTCTGTAATCATAACCACCTGGCAGTGATCCTGGCTTCTCCCCGCCTCACTGGGAGACCATGGCCAGGAACTTTTGTAAAATGAGAACAGCTTTCCACCCAGCATACATTAGGAACGTGAAGGCCTTCCTCCTCATGGCCCTACAGTGGTCGGTCCTGTGTTCTCAGGATGGGACTGTGTCTCTCCCAGAGTTCTACACCATCAGGGCTGGCAGTGACCAGGACCTGGCTTCATTCCCTACTACAGAGAGACTGGTCCTGGGAATGGGGGAGGGAGACTTGGCCTGCAGAGACCCCAGCTGGGGCTGGCAGGGCCACAAGCCCATACTTGGGGGTGGGGCCCAGGACCAACCTCCACCTTGCACACCCCACTGATCCCCGTATGCCCCTGCAGAACCCTGAAGCCAACCCACGTCCGACAGCCCAGGACCTGGCAGGGTTCTGGGACCTGCTACAGCTGTCCATTGAGGACATCAGCATGAAGTTTGATGAACTCTACCACCTCAAGGCCAACAGCTGGCAGCTGGTGGAAACCCCCGAGAAGAGGAAGGTGAGCATGGAGCAGTGCGGAGGGGAAGTCCAGGGACAAATTCCTGGTCGGCACTAACGCTGCCCACATCGGTCAGTGCTGCTTGGCTCCCTTCTCCGTGTGTCGTCTTTGAGCTGGGGGCTCACGTTCATCAGTGTGCGGGGTCCACGCTCGGCTCTCGTCCAGCATGCTGCTCGCTCTGTGCAGTCGACGCTGCCCCCAGAAGCATGCCATCCTGCCCTGCATGTCCAGAAGTGGGGCTCCTAGGAGACACATGCCCACAGCCCTGAGCACTTATACAGATGTGGCTGTTGGGACTTTGGAGGCAGAAAAACAGTCCTCCTAGGGCCAGCCTCTAACATGAGGCGCGGGATCCCTTATGTAAAACCATGGCACCCAGTGGTCCCTGTGGTTATTGGTTACTGGACTATGGCCCTTGTGAGTTCTGATCCCCTAGAACAGCATGTGAAATGTGGCCTGGGAGTCCAAAGCCCTGAACTTATTAAATCCCAGCTCGAGCCATGTGACTCAGGCTCCCAGTGGTTCAAAGCAGGGGTGGGAACAGGTGTTCTGTCCATCCCTTCCTGCTAGAACATTCTTGGATTCTAAGCTTGCTTTTTGCTCCTATGCCTTGTGCTATTCCCACTATCATTGCTTCTTGTGGCTTTTTGATTCCAAATGTGTGTTGCTTGTGCCCGATGTGGGGAGGCTGGGATGGAGGCTCCGGCTGCCAGCACACAGCGGGTGGTAGCGCCACACAAAAGGTGCACCTTGATTTTATTTTTCTTCCCTCCTCACTGTCTCACTAAAGGAAGAGAAGAAACCACCCCCTCCGGTCCCAAAGAAGCCAGCTAAATCCAAGCCGGCAGTGAGCCGCGACAAGGCCTCCGACGCCGGCGACAAGCAGCGTCAGGAGGCCCGCAAGAGACTCCTGGCGGCCAAGCGGGCGGCTTCCGTGCGGCAGAACTCAGCCACAGAGAGTGCGGACAGCATCGAGATTTATGTCCCCGAGGCCCAGACCCGACTCTGAGACCAGGAAGCGGGAAGCAAACAATTTTAAGTCATTAAAAAAAAAAACCACCACACAAACTAAATGTGAACGGAACACCATTTTCTCAACCTTTAGGATGGTTATTCTGTCCAGAGACCCTGAGCCAACTTTCCAATTGATGCATCCAAGGGCTCACAATTTGGCTTTTTTGGGTCCCTCCCAGCTTTAGGTTATGAAGACTTCATACAAAAAAAAAAAAAAAAAGTCAACAAAAACACGAAACGATAAAACTTTGTGCCCCCCTCTCGCTGGCCGTGGTGGACTAGGTAGACGGACCTCAGCAACTCCCGGCCCAGCCTCCAGACTGCGGTCTTTTTACTTGTTCTATCTGACGAGAACTCGCACTAGCTTGTTTACAAGACGAGGACCGTCCGAGGACAGCCTTGGGCCCCTGCCATGTCCTTCCTCCTCCTCCCGCTACCCCGCTCTGACCTTGCAGTTTTCATTCTTTTCTTTTTTCCCCTCAGAGCTCACACAGGGGCCACCATCCAGCGGCCGGCTTGCCGGCCCTCAGCCCCGCGTGTGACCACCAGCCCCGAGGACAGAGCGCTGGACACACAGCCCTGCCCCAAGTGCTTGCACAGGCCTCCCCCGCCCCCACCGCAGCAGAAGCTGCAGCCTCGGGCTGGGTGGGCCAGGGTGGGGGGGCTGGCCTCTCCCAGAAGGGGAGGAGGGGCAAGTCTTGGCGGGGGGAGGACAATGAGATAAAAGCCACAGTGACCACACTCCAGACTCACGCCTCTTTCTTCTCTCCAGCCCCCTTTTCCTTCAGTAAAATGTTCAACTCAGAGTGACTTGCAGGGGACACTCAAGAGAGGGACCCCACTTTCCAGGGGTCATCTGTCCCTGGCCAAACCTGTGTATAGCACCCAAGGGGCAGGCAGCTGTGTCTGTACGGATGTGTACATATGCACATAGACCTTAGAGTGTATATTTAACAAATGCCCATCTGCTCACCCATGCCCCCCAGCGCCGCCGCTGGCTCTCGGGGCACCTGGCAGGAGGCGGGTGTGTGAATAGCATATATTTTTACATGTACTATATCTAGGTGTGTGTACAAGTGTGTGTAAAAATATATACCTTGTGTGTAAGCGGCCTTTTTTTGGTCTCCCACCTGCCCCTTGCTGTGGGCCCATCTGCCCCGCCTCTGAGTTTTCTGTTCTGTTGGGTTTCTTGGGGTGTTTTTTTTTTTACCCCAATCATCCTTCTCTCCCCCGGCCCCCACCCTCACTCCCGGGGTGGCATGAGCCCTGAGCTGCAGTGGCCCGGGCCTGCAGGGTGGGGGACGAGTGGGGGGAGGGGGAGGCCCAGCCCACAGCAAGCCCAGTACATGAGGGTAGCTCTCTGCCGTGGAGACAATGATGGCACTGGAGACGTCCTCTGTCTGCCACTTGCTGCAGGGGCCCCGGGTGAACAGAGGGCCTGCTCTGGGGCCCCATTCCAGCTTGGCCGCCGTCTGTGACCTTGGGCAAGTCACTCGACCTCTGTGTGCCTCAACTTCCTCCTCTGTAAAACGGGGACAGTCCCTGCCCCTCCCTACCTCACAGGCATGTTGTGAGAATAAATGAGGTAACGCGTACCAAGGGCTCATGGTGTTCTTGCAGTGGGATGGGCCAGGCTGTGAGGTGGGCGGAGTGGACACCTGGGGAGACTGAGCCTGACCCCCCTCCAGGTGGCAGCTCTTTGGAGACAGGCTGACTTGCATATAAACTAATTCCAGCTCTGGCACAACCCAGCTTGTGACCCCTGGGCAGGGACATTTCCTCCCAGACCCCAGCTCCCTGACCTGAGAAATGTGTAACAGCCACCTTAACCTGCCTCCCATGAGAAACAGACATTTAATTCATAATTGTATGGAAGCCAAGCTGTGCTGCCCTGGCCCACAACCCAGACCCAGGCTCTGCCTGCACCGCTCCCAGGATGGGGTGCTCCATTCTCCCTGCAGCTGCCTCCCCCTGACACTTACTTGCACTCAGCAAACTCCCTAAGCACCTGCTCCACCAGGCCAGAGCCTGGCAGTTGTTCACAGAACTCAGGTGGAGGAGAGACACGCCAAACAAGGCCTATGTGAGTTCAAGTGTACTACTACAGGTAGCAGAAAAGAAGATGCAACGCAAGGAGTTTGCAGGAAACTGTGACAGCACTGTCAAACGCAGTCTGGCAGGAGCACTCTGATTGAACCCAGAAGCACAGTGGGTACTAACCTGCTTTGGGGGACGGCGAACCTGGGGAAAGTGCGTTCTAGACATAAGGACGTTCAGCACCAACGCCCAGTGGTACGAACAGACCTTTCAGAAAGTTCTTGGGCCAAGCTGAGCTTCAGACACCTGGTCTCCTCCCTTGGCCCCACCCCGCTAAGATGCAGTGACCTCAGGCTAAGGGGATGCACAGAAGTGCCTTCCCAGGACTTTGTTCTACGGGCAGACTTGCGCTCAGAGCAGCCTGAACCTCCCCTCTGGATCGTGTTAATGGCGGCTGAGCACCCGCTGACCACAGGCAGCTCTGACCTCCTGGGGCTGGTGCCTTTCTGGACCTACCTCTACCTGAGACCTGGCTGGGGGGGCGGGGGAGGGGGCAGGACCAGAAGAGAAAATGAAGAGGTTTCAAGTTGCCTTGGGCACCGAGCCAGACAGAGGTTAGTGAATGCTGGAGGTAGCCAGGCTGGACTTGAGGGCCACGAGCCAGCTTGCAGCCCAACTCTACTCCTGATGCAGGGAAAGAGAGAGGACCCTTACCCCCCAAGGCCTGAGTGTTCCTGCTATGGCAGGGGAGGGGCCTTGATGAGGGGCTCTGGTAGGGCTCTGGCCCTCCCTGCAGCAGAGCACAGAGGGAGAGAAGCGTCTGATGTGCAGAATCTGGGCCTCCATGACCAGCCTTACTGACACCACAGAGAAGGAACCCCCCACAAGTTGAGAGAAGAATATGATGAACACCACATCCTTTACCCAGAATCACCAACCATCAACATTTTTCCATATTGGCATCAACCCTCACAGGCACATATAAACATTCTCTACCTCCCCCAGAGGCATCTGAAAGCTAGCTGCATACACCATACTTCCCCCCACAAACACACGAGGCAACTCTTGAGAATAAGGACACTCCTGCATGACCACAATACCAATGTCACCCTCTAATTTAAACTAGGAGTGGTCCACAAGCACCTCCCCGTACCCAGGTGAGTGCCCAGTGCCCACCAAAAATGTCCTCTCTGGCTCTTCCTTTGTACCCACCCAGGATCCACTTAAGAATCATTCGCTGCTTTCAGTTATGTCTCTTTAGTCTCGCAGAATTGGATTACATCTTGTAAGTACCCAACCATCTTGTAGATTATTGCATGATCTGGATTTATGTTTCGCAGAACTAGATTCCAATTAAGCAGTACGAACCAAAATATGAGTAAGATAATTTCCCATTCCCTGTACTTCTATCAAGCAGGCATTTGTCAGTGTAGGAACAGACTAACAGCAGCTTCCCAGAGAAGCTGCATTTCCAAAGCCCAGTCCTTGGGGAACAGCAAGGGTCAGGAGGGAGAGATGCAGGTTGCAGGGTGCTGGGGAAGAGCAGAGGGAGCCACTGCGCCAACTCTGGGTCCCTGCGAGCCACCCTCAAGGCTGCACTCCTAGAGCAGGAAGAGGCCCTTTTGGACCCCTGTTCCTCCAAGGGCATGAGTTCCCAAATTTGTGCATCCCTCGCCCCATGGCCTAAGAGCATGCTCTGAGAGAGAAGGCCAGGCTGCAACTGGGAGCAGCAATGGGCTCAGAGGCCTTAGAGCCAGGACAGCAGGACAAAGCTATGGCCACCAGTGGCCTGCCAGCCAGGAACAACGTGAATGCCAGCACAGGTAAGGCTGCTGAGGATCCGCAGCCCAACTGAGAAGTTGTTCCTACCACCACCACTGGAGAATGAGGTTGTGTCTCCTGTGCTTGGGAATCTTGCTGATCTGAAAAATCAGTGTGGCCCCCACTGTCCCTCCCACAGCAGCCAGAGGGAATTACAAAAGTCCTGCCTCCACCTGCTCCAGAAGTCACCCTCTGCTCAGAGGCCTTTGCGGCCTGCCCAGAACCAGCAGGAGAAAACGCAACCTCTTGCCCTTGGCTTGCGAGGCCCCTGCCCCCTGCCCAGCTACACCTCCAATGGGATCCCATACTGGGCTCTGCCCTCCAGCCTCACCTCAGGCCTTTGCATGGGAGCCATGGCTCCCAACTAATG